GCTGTGAACGCCTATCAGGTGATCCACCCGCCAGGACCTCCCAAAGTGCTGGGATTACAAACATGAGCCACAATGTGTGAGCAGCCATTTTCGCACGTTTTCACTTTTTTTTTTTGGCAGTGTCTTGCTCTGTTGCTCAGGCTGGAGCGTAGTGGTGTGATCTTGGCTCAACTGCAACTTCTGCCTCCCAAGTTCAAGCCATTCTCCTGCCTTTAGCCTCCCGAGTAGCTGGGATTCTATAGGTGCCTGCCACCACACCCAGCAAATTTTTTGTATTTTCGGTAGAGCTGGGGTTTCACCATGTTGAAGTCGAATTCCTGACGTTAGATGATCCACCTGCCTTCAGCCTCCCAAAGTGCTGGGATTACAGGCGTGAACCACCGTGCCTCGTTAGTTTTCACATTTAAGTCTGGGATATATAAGGGAAGCAATTTTAGGGAACTTACATGTCATTCCTGAGTCCCAAGGTCCCTGACTCCACCTTTCAGTGCCACCTTATGTGTCATCTATATATGATGTGTCCAGAGTTTTTAGTTGCACTTGGTGAGTCGGGGAAGTACGTCTACTCTTGTCATCCCAGAGAAGCAAGTTTCTGAATGATTTTTTAGATGGAATTAAAAATGGATACAAATGTAATTCCTGTTACGCTATTCTCCCTAAAATCAATGTAGGATCACCTTAAGGCAGTTACTTGAGGCTGGGTGCGGTGGCTCATGCCCATAATCCCAGCAAGTTGGGAGGCAGAGGCAGCAGATCCCCTGAGGTCAGGAATTCAAGATCAGCCTGGTCGACATGGTGAAACCCGGTGTCTACTAAAGATTAAAAAAAAAAAAAAAACTAGCCAGGTGTGGTGGCTGGCACCTGTAATCCCAGCTACCTGGGAGGCTGAAGCAGGAACGTCGCTTGAACCTGGGAGGCGAAGGGTGCAGTGGGCCAAGATGATGCCACTGCACTCCAGCCTGGGTGAGAGAGTGAGACTGTGTCTCAAAAATAAGCAACTTGATGAAGCTTCCAGGTATTTAATTCTAGTCAGTTCCTAGGGAATGCATATTACAGCAAGGTTGAGTATATAATGCAGATATTCCTGAGAGGTGAAGCCAGCTGGGCAGGGACTTGGAGAACTTTTCTGTCTAGCTAAAGGATTGTAAACTCACCAATCAGCACTCTGTGTCTAGCTAAAGGTTTGTAAACGCACCAATCAGCACTCTAAATTGGACCAGTCAGCAGGATGTGGGTGGGGCCAAATAAAGGAATAGAAAGCAGGCCACCCGAGCTAGTAATCCCCCCCAGATTTGTTCTTTTTCTCGCTCTTTTGGGTAGGTATTATCTTTATGAGCTGTAGTACTCACTGTGAAGGTCTGCAGCTTCACTCCTGAAGCCAGCGAGCCCACGAGCCCACTGGGAGAAGAACAATTTTGGACGCCCAGCCTTTATGCGCTGTAATACTTAATGCTAAGGTCTACACCTTCGTTCCTGAAGCCAGTGGGATCACGAACCCACCAGGAGGGATGAACAACTCTGGGCACGCCGCCTTTAAGAGCTGTAACACTCACAGCAAAGGTCTACGACTTCACTCCTGAGGCCTGTGAGACCACTGAACCCCCCAGAAGGAAGAAACTCCGGACACGTCCGAACATCAGAAGGAGCAGACTCTATACATACCATCTTTAAGAACTAACACTGACAGCGAGGGTTCGTGGCTTCATTAAGTCGGTGAGACCAAAAACGCCCTGGAAGGAACCAATTCCGGACCCATTCCCATCAAATGTTTAAAATTCTTGGTGGGGACCGGGAGCTGTGGCTTACCCTGTAATCCCAGTACTTTGAGAGGCCGAGGTAGGTGGATCACAAGGTCAGGAGTTGGAGAACAGCCTGGGCAACGTGGTGAAACCCCTGTCTACTAAAAATACAAAAAATAGTAGGGTATTGTGGCATGTTCCTGTAATTCCAGCGGCGCCGCCTCACCTCAACGCGGGAGGCAGAGGTTGCCGTGAGCTGCAGCCTGGGCGACAGAGCAACTCTCTTAAAATTCTTTGTGCGAAGTTTAACTGAAAGGCTGAAACTGGCTGTTTAAGTCTGTTTTAAGACACTGGGTCTCTGTCACCCTGTGTAGTGGCACGATTACAGCTCCCCGTAGCCTTGAACTCCTGGGCTCAAGCAATTCTTCTGCCTCAGCCTCTTAAGTAGCTATGAGTACAGGCATCCACCCCCACACCCAGCTAGTATTTTTTTGTAGAGACCAGGTCTCACCATGTTGGTCAGGCTGGTCTCGAACTCCTGACCTCAAGTGATCTGCCTGCCTTGGCCTCCCAAAATGTTGAGATTGCAGGTGTGAGCCACTGCACCCAGCCAGAGGGTGTTTTTTTAATGTGGCATTTAAAAAGAAAGTTGGAAAATACATTGGTTTCTGAGAGTATTCAATACTATTAAAGATTAATATGTTTGTGACATAGGGGAAAGCTTTTCAGTACGAGTTAAGTACAGATAAATCTTAAAGTTTTTAAAACATAGGCAGATCTTACAAGATGTGTTAAGTAGTAAGTAAATAGAACATGTGTTAAACAGAAAGGAATAAAGTCCAGGATACTTAACATTCCTAGCCACCAAGTATACATGAGACACCTGAGCATGAAATATTTGATACATTAAATGTCCAAGAGGCACTAAATACAGGGCACAGAATATACATAAGCATGAAATAGTCATGAAGTCCTAAATAAGGTTATTCACCTCTGTCCCCAAGTGTCCTCTGTCCAAGAAACACAGTAAAACCCATGGTTTCTCCACAGGCCAACAGCCAAAGCTCAATTCTGCCAGGCTTGCTTGTACCTGCATCTCGGACAGAGCAAGTGTGTGTCATTGGCGCAGGGCACCTTGCTTCTGAGTCTCCTTGCTCAAACCTCTCGTCTTCAGCACCACCATCCACAGAAAAGTTGATGTTACAGAGAGGGGTGGGAGGCTGGGGCAGGTGGGGGATGGTAGCCCCTTAAACGTTGTATGAGGCAGGCTTTAGGTAGCGGGCATTTTCCACCAGATTTGCACCCTCTCTTAACAGCGTTTACTTATACCACCACTTTCCTCTTGCTTTTCACTGTTTCTTTAAATTGATTTAAATAAGAGATTCCAGCATTTTAATTTGATCTGTGAGCCTGTCTGCTCACTGATCTCTGAGAAGGTAGTATACCTGGAGGCCACTGCATTTCCCACATGACAATTCAAATCAAAATATGGAATCCTTTTGGGGAGGTCAGGTTGATAGCTTCCCTTTTCCTCCTGGGAATGGATATTCTGCATATTGTCTTAGCCGTCCACGTGTTGAATGATCAACTTTGCTATTTATGTAGACCAGGTTTTCATCACACATACACTCCTTCCTGATACAATTCCCCATATGTAAGCATTCACCTCCACCTTCCCTTGCTCCATTGTTTCTCTGTAGTGAGTGCTCACCATGTGTGCCAGGTGCTATCCTAGATTCTGGGGGCTAGAAGGAAAAACAGAATCCCTTCTGAAATACAGAGCTTTGGTAAATAAATTAACGTATTAAATGCAATAGCCTGGGGCAGTCTTGGGCAGCTTGACTGATAACTCTAGTGAAATGTTGAGTTTTTGAATGACACAGGGTACATGATGTTAAATCAAATTTTTTTTTTCTTTTTTTTTTTTGAAATGGAGTCTCCATCTGTCACCCAGGCTGGAGTGCAGTGGTGTGATCTCGGCTTACTGCAACCTCTGTCTCCTAGGTTCAAGTGATTCTTCCTTTTCAGCCTACTGAGTAGCTTGGATTGCAGGCGTGCACCACCACACCCGGCTATTTTTTTTGTTTGTATTGTTAGTAGAGACAGCGTTTCCCCATGTTGGCCAGGCTGGTCTTGAACTCCTGACCTCAGGTGATCCATGTGCCTCAGCCTCCCAAAGTGATGGGATTACAGGCGTGAGCCACCGCTCACAGGCTGTCTCAGATTTTAAAAGACTCTTCACTGAAAGACACAAATGCAGCTCTGGATGTCCTAAGCTTCGACAGAGGGCGTGGGAGTAAGTATGTGAGAAGGACACAGGTGTATCTGGCCGAGGCCAAGATAGGAAGAACCAGACCCAGGGTACAGCCAGGGCAATCTGTACATGTGGCCTTTGTTCTCTCTGCCGACCACCCCTCTCATTTCTCATTCCACATCTACTTGTCCATTCATGTTTACCGAGTACTGGTTATGGGTCAGGCACTGTGCTAAATGCTGCATAATTATCACTCCCGTGAAACGAACACGCGAAAAAGGGGGAGGTAGGCTCTACAATGTTTAAGCCAGTTATGGAGCAGGTTAGCAGGGAATTGTCATGGAAGGAAAGAAGCTGTTGGGGGGAAATGCAGATGAGTTGAAGTTTTAAATCAGGTGATCAGGGAAGGCCTCTCTGAGAAGTGACATTTTCGTAAAGACAGAAAGGAGGTGAGAGAGTGAACTGGAAGATTGTCTGGGGAGGGGTTCCCGGCAGATGAAGCAGCTGGGAGCAAGGAAGAAATACCAGTGAGGGGGAAAGAGAAGATGCTGATGTCAGGGAGGTGGATGTGTGGGGCTTTGCAAAGCACTGCCTGAGAAAAGGTTGCCACCAGAGGGTTTCGGGGAGAGAAATGGCACAATAAGACTTATAACACAAGCGCTGTGGTCACTGTGTTGAGACAGACTAAGACACAGAAAAAACCTCTTCACTGCAAGAAACAAATGCAGTTAGGACAGCTCTGCCATTTGCTGTGTGACCTTGTACTCTGTGCCTCAGTTTCTTCCATGTGTAAAAGCAGGAGATATTCATAGTCCTCACTGCACAGAGCTGGAAGTGAAGTGTAAGTTAACATATGTAAAGCACTTCCAACAGTGGCAGATAATAAGCACTGCATATGCTTTTGCTAATATTTTTATGGCTCCAATAAATATGATCTAGAAGTAGGTGGCAGATGGGGTAGGTTAAGAAAATAAGGCGTTTTTTTTTTTTTTTTTTTTTTTTTAATGATTTATTTCTTGGGGAAAGAGGTATTGACCTTGCTCTTCAAACAAACCTGTAAAATACTCCCAAAGATGTAGAAATTGGTATTGTAGACACTTGATAGACATGAATTACCTGGGCGGACTGCAGCTTGGGATTTGTGTTTTACATTTTTGTTCAGGGTCCTGTTAATTTGTAAAGTTCAACACATTCAGGCTCCAAAAATGATAAACTAATGCTTAAATTGAAGCTCAATTCCCTTTCTTCATGAGCTCTTCTGTTGTGGGAGATGATCTCTACTGCTCTTGCTGTGTGAGTACACACTTGTTTGTGTACCTGTGTTTGTCTACCAGACACAATTCTTCCTCAAAGCCTCATTGTGGGAAAAACAAAACAAAACACCCAAACCTACTGATAGGCCTCAGTGACCAAATACTAAAAACTTAACATTCCCTGACATGGTCTTGATCACACCCTTTTGACACATTTGTGTTTCAGGATTCTGATACCTCAGTGGGCCCCCAGTGAAAAGCTAAGCTATCTCTTAACAACGTTAATGGCAGCTAGCAACATTCCCAAACACAAATCATTGATTGATTTACTCTGGTACGAATTGAAATAGAGCAGAAACCAATTTCTTTAATTTGTGACGTTTTGATGGACTTTTCCTACACAGAAGAGCTATGTGTTCTGGTTGAGGAACGACACTACAAGAAGCAGCATATGGTAGAGTTAAGGATGTAGGCTTTAACATTAGACCTTCCTTTAAATAATAGCTCTACCAGTGACCAGGACTGTAGGTAATTTAATTCTCTGAGGTTCAGCCTCTTCAAATATAAGGTGAGGGAAGGGCTCGAGGATCATCGTGGATGATCCTAATTAAGGTTTTAGGCTTGCACCTGCATAGGAAAGAATGCGTCCCTAAAGCCATTCCCTGCAGGTTAAGACAAGTCTCCTTATTAATTGTTCAGGAAAGTCTTCAATTAAATTGAAGGTCTGGCATACTGCAACTCCTGCAAGTTCTTAGTCATTATCAGCTTTGGCTGGTTAGAATCCGCTATGATAAACACGGGCTTCAGCTTAGCTCTCTGCAAGGTAGGTGCTGCTGCAAGTGGAAAGTCTGTCTTTAAGAATATGCCCTGCAATTTGCTTTATTCACTGATGATTATATTGATCGGATTTGTCTATGTTGATACTTGTAGGGGATGAAGGAGAGGGAGAAGTCAACGATGACAGCAAATTTTAGTGTAGAGCAACTGAGAGAGTGGTGGTGCAGGAAACACAGGGAACAGCAGCGACTTGGAAGTGGGACTGGAGATAACATCATGCCGTGGACATTCGGAATCCACAGAGCTGCGTGGAAATCAGATTTAACTTGCTCTCTCCCCCTTTAAGATGCTTCTCAAGTAGCCTCACTCCCTAAAACAAACGGATATTTGGCATTGAGTCACATTATTCTGCAGCCATCATATTTTCTTGCAGGTAGAAGGCAGGCCCTTCCTGGTGTAAACAAACAAGATTGGGCTACAGTGACAATCCTCCCTGATGGCCTGCATCTGGTTTATACCCTCTATTAATGGGGTCCTTCAAAATCCAGCCTCAGATGCCCTCCTCCCGTAGCGGTGGCCTCCACCTCCGGCCTGGCCCAGCTTACGTGGTCCAGCTTGTGCAAGACCCAATTCCAGCTCCGGGTTTCCGGCTTTTGGCCACTCAGGATTGGACCTCGGACTGGAGCTGGTCGGCCCTGCAGGTGCAGGGCCTGGGGACTGAGGAAGCACAGAGATTCCCCGCCCCGTTCCCCGCCTTCGGCACTCGCGGCGAGGCACCGTCCCACTCCCCGCCCCCGGGATGCCGGGCGCGTGCGGCTATTCGGCAGCTCAAGCCCCGCCCCCACCGTCTCCGTTTTCCGCTCACTCCTCTCCCAGGCCACTGCGCAGGCGACACGACGCCCCGCCTTTCTCCCCGCCCTGCCGCGCTCCAGGGACGCAGCGCGCACGCAACCGCGTTTCCGGCGAGACCTGGCTGCTGTGCTCCGCGGCTTGTGCGCGCTTGTGGACCGCGCGGGCCTTCGGGAGATCGGTGCGGATCCTTGGGGAGTATGGTTATTATTTTCTACGACTTTTAGGGATTATTTAGGAGTTTCACGGCCGTCTGCTTTTCGTCTTGCCGATTCAGCCGGGCCTTTAGGCCGTGTGGTCGGTGCTTTTCTCGTTCGGTATTTTCTGCTTGTCTTGAAAGAGGCTGTGGATGTACGGAGTCCCTGAGCTCCTGAGGGAAAGGCTTACCCATGTAGCATAGTGTTGCCTGGTTTCCTGGTGGTTTTGTTGCTCCATCTCTTTAAAAGCCTCCCTTACTCAGGGCCGCCTCGAGTTAAGAAGTGTGGGCAAGATCCCAAGCCTTCTGCCCTTCCCTGTTTTATGGGAGCTTAATTCTTTCTTTCTTTTTTTTTTTTGAGGGAGTGTCTCGCTGTGTCGCCCAGCCTGGAGTGCAGTAGCCTGAATATGTGTCATTGCAGCCTCTGCCTCCTGGGCTCAAGCCATCCTCCCACCTCAGCCTCCCAAGTAGCTGGGATTACAGGTGCACGCCACCATGCCCGATTTGTTTTTATTTTTTATTTTTTTTATTTTTTAATAGAATATGGGTTTCACTATGTTGGCCCAGCTGTTCTCGAACTCGTAACCTCAGGTGATCCGCCTGCTTGGGCCCCCCAGAGTACTGGGATTACAGGCGTGAGCCACCTTGCCTGGCCTAATTCTTTAAACAGAATAAACGGGGTATGCATTGCTTTCCATCTTGTTAGGCTCACTGCATACAGGATACTTTTCTGTAAGAAAATACGAGCTGTTTTTCCAAGGTTGCAATGTCACGTGTGATCTTGACCTGAGTTTTCGTATATTTTACCCCCTCTTCTTCCCTCCGAAAAAGAACTGTGAGTTGGATGCAGAAGTTTCTAAAAACCTTGAGTATTGAAATTGGTTGTTGCAGCAGGGATGAAAAGCAACACCCCTGCGTCCCCCCGAAAGAGACATGAAAGTAGTTGGATTAAGGGCACGGGAGTATTTGCTTTCCGATTTAGTGATAACATGAGTACTTGATGAAATGGCTAACACATTCCCTGATTATAGAGTTGGTCAGTGGATCTTGCTGAGTTTCCTGTGGGCCTATGTGAAATGATCGGCATCTGTTCAGCGTTACTGTGTGCTAAGCACGTTTGCGTGTGTCATACGTTGAATGCTCACAACAGCCCCAGGAAATTGGTACCAGTGTTATCCTCATGGTACG